CCCCAAAACCCCAAAACCCCAAAACCCCAAAACCCCAGAAAATCCAATATAATTGTAAGTTAAAATTCTAATTCAAACCAACACCTACTTCTCCTGCTCTTTCTCGTATATCAAAATATATGCATTTTCCTTATACTTTTGTACCTCTTCGACCTCAACATAGTAAACAGCCCTATCATTACAACAGTACCAATCCTCTTCAACTTTTCAACACGTATAATAATGGCCGGAGTTAAGACTCCCAATGTGGGAGATGAAGCTCTTTAAAGTGTAAGTCAATTCCTGTTCATCTGTTGTAAACTCGTCTTCGAAAGGTATCGGCTTTGTCATTTTCTTCTCACCAGAAGTGTCTATTCTCTGGAATGGCAGAATGAGGTAGTCAGGGAAATGGATCATTAAGCTTGTTATAATTCACCCCTGCAAAGTCCTATCTCAATTCTTACAAATAAACTCACTCCAGCCCTCCTCTTTTCCAACCCCTCTAATAACTTCCATCATCTGCTCTTCCTGGCCCTCTACACAAGGAAGAGGCACGTTCTTAAATTCTTCATAGCACACAGTCTGGCCACCTCAGGTTTCGCACTGGAAGGACTTTTTGTACATGCCCACGAAGAGAGAGTCGATTATTGAGTCTCGGCCTTTGATGTAGCTGGCCCAAGCTTCAGAAGGGGATTTGGAAGAGTCGGATTTGAAGACTTTGTGAGGGGTAGAAGAGGATTGGATCATCGAGAACAGAGCCATTATTAATTGATTAGCTCAGTGTTGCTTGCCTTGCTCGAATTCATCATCAAACAGTCTCCTTCAGCAAGAGATATCAATAGGCTGGCTACTATTTTCTTCCTGAAAATCATTAACAATGTTATTTAATGACTGTATTATTGAATTTTTATTTATGCTTTCATTGGAAGAATCATCGTTTGTAAAGGACTCTAAAAACTTAGGAATGCATAGTAGTGATTGAAGAGAGGATATGAAAAAGCAATCATTTCCTGAATTAATCATCCCTTTTGGTTTTTTATCATTTTCAGGTCAGTCTCTTTGGATAGAGAGTTTAGCTTCTGAGCTCTCATGGATTTCGGAGTTTACTCATGGGCCTCCTGGAGTTTGATATACTCCAGAAGTTTCACTTTCGTTTAGAATACTCTCCAGGTTGTCTTGACTTTTCTTATCAGATTCTTTCTCAACTATATAGGTATTTTCTCTTGTTGTGGGCTATTCTTGTCAGAATTCATATATTGCTCATTTTGTTGATTTAATTTGCCAGCAACATCATTGAGAGAAAGAGTCGACTTATTATCCTTACTTCTCTTATCTTCCTCGTTCTCGGAGTAAACTAAGATTTTGTTTAATTTTCTTATACCTTCACTCTCTTTTTCACTACTTTGATCCTTCTTATTTACTATCTCTTGCTTCTTCTCAGGTGCTGATCCGTTCTTGAGTCCATTTTCTAAGTCCTAAACCAAATCAATCACAAACACCCTTACGCATCTTTCGGGGTCTATATTGCCATGACCTGCACCACTACCTTCCTCTCCCTCATCTTGATGTTTTTCTGTACCAGAGGATTTTTTTCTGAACAAATTATGTCACCACTTCTTTATAGAGATTTTCATTAAAACAGATAGTAATTAATTAGACTTATTGTTCAATATTTTTTGGGCTTATAGGGGTTTTGGGGTTTTGGGGTTTTGGGGTTTTGGGGTTTTGGGG